AATTGGTCCTTGCTTTGGAATGTGAATTGGTGTCAAGAGTCTGTAGTGTTGTAAATAGGATGATTTGATTCAAAAGCCTCAATACTTTAACCAACTAAACTAGTTGACATTCACAATTCAACATTAATCAGCCTATGTCGCATATTATTACATATGTGTCTACTCCATATATCTTTACTTGGTACACCTTACATGTCTACATCATTTGCCTTTTATCACCAACTGTCGTTATGCCAAAAAAAAAAAAAAAAAAAAAAAAAAAACTCCGAACGACGTCGTAGGGAGTGTAAACTCACCCCATTGTTGTAGCAAATGCAAATTTTCTCTAGAAACAAGTAAAGAAGAGAGAGAGGAAAGTTGAAAGAAATACAAAGGAGAGAGAATATGAGCTTGTCGACGGCATCGTTCTTTGCCAGAAGAGCCGCTCAGAAACAGAAGGTCCGCCTTCTTTACCGCCGTGCTCTCCGAGATACCCTCAATTGGGCCGTTCATCGTCATCTTTTCTATGAAGATGTAATCTCATTTTTCCCCATCTCAAACCCTAATTTCATCCCCATTTCCCCAATTCATTTCTAGGGTTTTGATCTGATCCCTTGTTTTTAATCTTGCTTTCTTTTGATCTTTTTGTTTTGCAGGCTGATGAGCTTCGGAAAAAGTTCGAGGCTAACAAAAATCTGGTATTTTTTTCCTTCTCTTTTTGATACAATGTAGAAATTAGGAATTAATGTTTTTTCATTAGTTAAGTTTTATGGGTACCAATTGTTCAAATTAATACATAATGTATTGGATTATTAGCTGAATTAGAGTGTATAAGTGATGACATTGACAATGGACAGTCTTTCGATCGAAATTTGAGTGCTTTTGTGTATTCGATAATCAAGAAATTTGGATGCTTTTGTATATGAAGTTGGTACTGTTGATGTTAGTTGTAGTGTATCTGTATAGGGAAGTGTGATTGTGTTATAATGTTCGATAGCTAACAGGTTATGCAATTGTTGATTGATTCAACTTTGTGTGATTCTTACTGAGTGTTTTTCATGGTGTTATAGGAAGACCTTGATACAATTGACAGAATGATTGCAGTTGGTGAATCTGAATACAATAAGTGGCGACACCCTGATCCTTATATCGGTAAGCAATGGCATAACCCATGGTTTGTTACTGTTTTGATACATGTAACTGTTAGTGTTTTTCATCCATTGATTGGCTGACGTGTAACTGTGTAAGTTCTATGTATAGTGTGATGTTTCATTGAAGTGTTTTAGAAACCAGCTTTTAACTTTGGAACCTTTGTTAATGCAGTGTATTGTAGGAAGATGGTATGTTGGTGTAGCTTAATGTATGTTTAAAATAGGAAGTTAGAAGAAGAGGATAAAAGAAACCTTTGATCTTCATTTTTCTTTGTTTTTTTAGATTGGCTGAGCGGGTTGGTTATTGTATAAGACATCTTTTAAATGTTTAACAGACTGCCCTAACTGCAAGTCTGCAACTATATTTGAAAGCTTGGCTGGTTAGATTAGTGACTTCTTGAAAAATCTTTCTACGTTGTTGATGGGAGAAAATTCTTGTAGCTTGTAGCATTCCACAATGTAGGTTACATCTGAACCTTAATGCTTACATGTATTATGATCCTTATCCAATTGAACCAAATGTATCAAGTTATCAACAGAGTTTCTTCATGTATTTTTCTATTGCTCTCCAATTTCACCTGTTTCACTCTAATGCCTGGTGTGGAGTCTAGGAGTGAACCTTTCTGTAATCTGCAATGTGCTAAACAAAATGGGTCAATGCCGAGAATTTTCGAATTGCAATTTAGAATTATGCCAACACCCTACTTTTTGAATAAGTTAAATGAAGTCTTATTGCTCTTTGTATCTTATAGTGTTGTAACTTGTTGGTAATGGATACTGTAACTCATGCCTTTTCAACTCCTCTGCAGTTCCATGGGCTCCTGGCGGTTCAAAGTTCTGCAGAAACCCAGAGCCACCTAAAGGGGTATGTGCTGTTCTTTAACTGGTTGGAAAATGTTTTATTCTTTCTTTGGCACAACTATTCTGCTTTATCCCAGAACTCTTTTCTGATTCTTGACATCATATTGCTATTTTTTTTACCCAAATGAAACAGAATGAGATAAATGCTCTGTTTTTTCATTGCTAACATTTTATTTTTGTATCAATGATGGCTTGTGTAAACATGACTTTTTGTAAGTTTCCAATCTTGCTGTCTTCATATGTTAATTAATACGAAGTATTTACTACCATCAAGCATCTACTTATCAAGCTCCTTTGGTTAATTTTTAACAAAATGTACTGTTATTATTTTGGTTAATAAATGCCTCTTTTTAAGCATTTTAGGAAAAGAAAACCCCTTAGAGGACTCTTGCATTTTGCAATCACTAGCCATGGACATAATTCTATTTTTGATTTATATTTGTGGCATGATTTAGGTGTCATTTTCACATTGGTACAATGTCCCCTGTTTCCATTTGCGGGCTGTTGGTTGTGCACGTGTGTTCAAGTGTTAGGGTGTATTTCTCTTCAGTTTATTGATTTGATAAAACAACTCCTCCTTACTAAGAGAGGGAGGATTCTTTTTCTTGGTTTCTTTTGTCCCCCTTTTGGAGAGAAAATCGCAGAGTTGCTTTGGGCTTTGTGGTGCTGGTCTTTGTTTCTATTTTATTCAATAGCATCTGTTGAATAGTTGCCATGACTCATGAGTAATATATGTTGAAATGAATATACTACGTATTTTGATGACTGCTGTCAGCTTTGGCAACTCAATGATATTCTCCACTTTTCTAAGCTTAGTTCTGATATAAGTTAGTTGCTTGAGATTAGTTGATTATTTGGATTTCTCAATTTCTTTCTTTCTGCTCTCTTGTTTGTAAACATCTTGAATTTATTAAGGTTGATTCAATTGGTACATTTGATTTCTGATTTCTCTCTACCTTGCCTGTTTCTTAAACTCTGTCTATTGCAGATTGAGATTATTTACAACTATGGCCAAGAAGAGGCCGAGCTAAAGTAGCTGCATATCCTTGATGCAGTAAGGTTGGCAGTGCCCTATTTCTTTCTTTCTCCTTAGTTATTTTAACCCCTTTTTAGTGGAAAAATTTGCTTCTGAGCTGGTTGGCTAAACTTATTGAGGAAAGTAAAGAAGTGATTAGTTTATTAGCATTTTAATCTGACTTTGGATTGTGCTCATTCAGTGATTGTTAGTCTTATGTGTTTCCTGACTGGTTGATGCAGATGAGATTATTCTGCCTGTGGTGGGAAGATAATGATGAAGAGTCATCTCCTGTTTGCATTTAATTACGCTTCAAACATTTTGAGATGTTCAGTTTCCCGTTTTGAAATTTACTTAGGTTCTCGCACTTCATGTAAACTGTTTGAAAAATTTGTGCACATGAATTGTTAATCTCTGAAAGATGTTAATAATTTACCATCATGAATAAATTTTCTCCTTTTGTTAAGGCATGATTCAATGGCCTCTGTTATTGTGATTCAAGATTGTATCACTCTTAACAATGAAGAAAGATCACAGGGAATACTCTCTTAATCGCCCTTGGAACATCATTTTTGCATTAGATCTGTTTCAGATTGACTGCTAGGAAGCCGTTACTGTGTTGGACTTGAGCATTGAGCCAATAACTTGTCGTTGATAAGAAAATGGGGAATGACCTTGTAAAGTTCACAATATAGCTGGTGAGAACCATCTTACATTCTTGCGGCTGCAATTGCCACCAGGCTCAAAATCGACTTGGGGCTGAAGAAGCCACTTAAGCGAAAGCCTGTTGTCTCACGTCATTTAGGCGAGGTTATGTTAATAAATTATTAATAATAACAATAATAAATTATTATATAATAAAGGTTCATATGTTATTTCCAAGAGACTATTATAAATCCATGGTTTATAATGTGGTGAATTATAATCATATTGTCAACGTCTTTTGTTAACTTCCCAACAAACCCTTCCATCGTTGCACGACTAACATTGTCTACTGGAAGATACGAAGTATACATTTATAGTCATATGGGCCAAACCGTAAAAGAGTAGTGGGAAGACTTCGTTGCATTTCTTTTTTAGTTTTTATTTATTTATTTTTTTTTAATTTTTTTTTTATTTTAATTTAACTAATTTACATTAAACCTTACTAATTTCAATTTTCAAATATTTTTTGGAGCCATTACTGATGATATGATAAAAGCAATTTATAAAGTTGCAAAATGTAGAAGTATATATGTGGTTTCGCAGTAATTAGTGAAAGCCTGCCCTTTGATTTGCTTTGTTTAACGTTTTATTTCTTCCTAAAAGAAAAGAGTTGGTATTTACATTGTTCTTAAAAGAATTGAGATTTAAATAAATCTAATTTAACAATTTAAAAAGACAAAGATTTGTCCACGGTAATATTTAACACATCCAAAACAATTACGCACTTCCTTTCTATATTCGTCTTAATAGTATCAAACTTGCTCGATTGTCTCGATAAAATCTTTACCTAAAACGAAATCCTTGAAACTGGATTTTTACAAGGTTACAACCATCGTAAATAATTGACAAGTGCTTACTTTAGGATAATAGCTATGATGCAGTTATATAATGGCATCACATTAATCCAACAATAATAACATAATTAGCAAAAAAAGCGAGCTACTATATTTAATCAAACGTGATGTAACCCGTTAATACAAGATTGGACAACGTAATTAGTGGCTTAGTGCTACTCCATACTCAACTCAACTTCCACCAACTTTCTAATGGAATTTCCCCCTAAATTAAAAGTAGAATTAGTCAAAATAGATGCAACTTCCATTTTCTGGGTTTGGAAGGCACGAACCCATTTTCGCTCTCCTATTTTTTTGCATTTTATGTGGTTCTCTAACTACCAGATCATTAAATCTTATTGTAATATAACAGAATTTGTCAACCCATTTATTTTATTTTATTTATATATAAAAGAGAACAAGTCATATTACTCCTCTTAACAAGCCTATAATGTCTCCTACTAAGTGTTAATTATTAACCTTCTTCACACGATCAACCAAGTGGGAGAATAAAGCTGATTATGACATCCAAAACTCAGATTTTATATCTTTGATCATCATTAGCCATAGGCTGTTAATTGTTAAACCTATTTAAGCGACGAAAATCCGACATATGTTGCGGTAGCCTTCCTCTGATCTCTCTCTTGTGTATCATCTGAAGTTCTTACGTGTCGTTACGACAGAAGATAATGGCAATGGAGGATGATGATGCAAAGGGAGATAGAAGAGGTTGTACGGATACTGTTTGGGTTATTGGGTTTGTGCTTCCGTTGGTCATGCTTGTATGGATGGTCCATATGGGATATAGACTGACAACTGAAATGAGAGATGATGAAAGTGGTAGTTTTGAGGGAAGCTACATAGCTCTTTTGTTCGGGATTGTCACGGTAGTTTTTGGTTTGATCTATTTCATCGTCGGGTTGACCATTGTTGCAGAGTTAGCTCAGGATTTGGTAGCTTGGGCGGACAAGGAACAAGACGGAGAAATAATCAGAAACCAAGGTAAATACAATTTAATTTTTCAGTCTTAATCCAACATTGCTTAATCAGAAACCAAGGTAATATACAATGCCACAAGGAACGTTAAAAAGAATCACGCTAATTGGCTAACAGTTTGGCATACAGCTGGGGCAAAAACTCTATTATGTCTCTCTGTCTCTCTTTCATTGACCTATAACAAACTCTAGTTTAGTCCATAAGGGCATTTTGGTAGATTTGTCAGCATTCGTCGCCTAAGTTTTTAAGCAAATAGACTTCTTTTGCTATATGAAACAGCTAATCAAGACAAACATATTGGAGTAATATAGAGGGCCTAACTGCCTAAGCAAAATTTCTTATTCTCTACATCTCATAGAGTATACTTATGAACACATTAGCTCTGTTTTCTTGAATGCATGATGCAGTATAACAGTCTAACGATATGTAATACGTGAACAGAAAAGGAGCAGAAGACCATTTGTCAGATCGTTATACAAGTTTTAGCCACCATGATTTCAATGTTCATGCTCACATGGACAATATACTATGGGTATAGGTTAGCAGCAGAAACGCAAAGGGTTGTCATGTACAGTCACTTGGCATTCTTGATAGGAGTAATTACCATGGCTTTTGGCTTCATATACTTCATAATTGGGATTGCTCTAGTAGCAGATTCTGCACTACATCTCTCAGGAAGATTACAACAAGATGTCTCTGAAAGTGATCTATCCTTAGGCAAAGACATGGAAGCAAGTCTTCTGGTGTAATAGGGCAACCACCAGAGAAACACCACCGACTACATTTTTTTTGTTCTGGCTGCTAACAAGCTGACACCCTATATGGTGCGATTATGTTCACCATATATGGATAGCCAAGGTGCAGACTTTACAATCCTGAAGCAGGATTAAGCAACAACTCTTGTAATAGGCTCGACTGGTGGGAGAGGAAGAAGAAACAGAACATGCAAGTGATGCATCCTTTTTTGAACAAAATTTCAGGACACGAACACAAGAAATGCATTTGAGAAGAGCGATTCCTGGGCATGTTCCATTTGACTACAAGATCACAACTAACTGATCAAGTTCTGACTCTAGACAGATAATACAGTAATTCTAATATGAAAATAATTTAGGATAGAAGCATGACTTTAAGCCATTAAATTATATACAGTTAATGTTCTTATATTGTAAGTTTCTCCAAATCATGGCATTGTATGCTGGATATTATCGTATTCAAGTATGTTTCTCCATATGTAAGCTAGCTATACTCCTAAAGATGAACTGATAAGATTCCTCTAAGCAAATTCTAAGTTTCTAGGCAGCATTACAAAATTGTCTCTCAATATCTGATCACATCTTCTGTTTGCAACTGACTCACCAATTCAACAGAAGTTAAAACAGCCACCTTTCCCCCAACAACACTTAAAACTAGATTCTAAATGTGAAGATTACACAAAACCATCAGGTAAACATATAAATACACAATAAGAAACCTAACACACTGCATTGAACAAGATTATACAGAAAGCACGTCTCACACATGAAGGCTCCTTTCAATTCGTTGATTAGTGATAGGTACCTCCCTTGGTTGTTCAAAGAAAGTGCTATTATGAGGCATAAACCACCCCAACACCCACCGTCACCTCCTCCCATCAAGAACCACTTCTCCACCATACATACCACCTCCCACTACCACATTTGAAATACAACCAATTAATCTATATACACCTAGAATCGGAATCACCAGACACAATCGTGTTTCTTGAGAACGAACATAGTCTCTATAATTTATAGCCAATACCAAACAATAGACTTCCTAATCTATGTATAACTCTATGCTTTCATTCTCCAAGTTTCACATACTATTATTGCACCCTTCACTAATTGATTGAAATATTGTTTTCAGCTCAATATACTACCAAAAACCCTACAAAATCGTCTAAACAATCCAGGCATCACACAATACCAATCAAAATTAAACAAAAACCCAATAATAAAACCAAACAAACTCACATTAACAACTACCATATCATAACATAAATACCTGTATTTTAAATACCAAGCACAAAAATTCATCACCATTGATCCAAAATAAAAAAAATTCACAACAACCCAAATTCAAACATAGTAACATATTATTAAATCAACATCTATAATCAGCAAATATCAGCTGAACTAACATGAAAAATAACAAAATTAGATAACTTTGAAAGGAAGAGGCCAAGGAGTGTTACTGGGAACTTCAAGTTTGTCTTTAAACCTCTGAATCATATCTTTCTTCTTGGGTCTGGAATTACCATAAGAACCCTTGAATCTCTTTCCTCTCTTCGTCTTCTTGTCACCTCTTCCGCACACTATTGCCTCTGGTATTGATGAAGAAGACGCCATTGATGAATATGAAGAAATTGGGGAAGCTGGAATTTGATGGGTTGACATTATTCTTCTCGCAATTGAGCTGCATAACTGCTTCATCGCCATTTTTGCCCGATTTTTGATGGGATTTACAAATGGGGTTTTCAATCGGATTTTGGGGTTTTAGGAATTTTGATTGAATATTTTTTTTTTTTTTTTATAATTAAGATTGAAGATTGAAATCGGTTGTGTTGGATTTGAGGCTTTGAACTTCATTTGGGTTCAATTTTGCCCTAAGGTTTTGAAACTAAGCCCATGTTAGCATTCACCCAATTGACCCAATGAATTTTTTTTTTCTTTTCATTGAAAAACATTTGCAAATATAATTACTCTATATCATAAAATGGTAATCAATGCTATGGCTTGATAAATTTCGGGTTTAGACAGTCTAAAAATGTGTTTTTAATCTAAAGTTTGAATTTTGCTCGACATGTTAAAATATAGCGTTTTTAGGTATGAATTTTCAACCAAAGTCCGACTTAACTCAATCTTTTATCAAATTTACTTCATTTTATCTTTATAGAGCGTATTTCTATTTTGGGATGTCTCAAATCGACCATTTGTTGTATTGACTTTCTTAAATTGTCAATTTTATCATATTATTCTAAAATTCTTAAATTTTTTTTTCTTTTTTCTTTTTTTGTAAAGGTATGGTATTATTGTCATAATGATAAGAATGCGTGTTCAATTGTAACAATTGTGCTTACATATACCATCAACGGTACGAATAGTGATGTTATTTAGAGCGCAAATTTCTTATAGAAGGTATAAATAAGTATGACCTACTATATATAGTGAGATGAAAAGAACATACTAATTGTACAAGTTTTAATTAGTTTATGTATATTTTTAACTGTCTATCAAAACACCACAAAGAATTTGGCTTGGTATTTACCACACCCCACCACCTATGTTGCTTATTTGCAAAATAATATTTTGATTTTTTTTTTTTTTTTGAAAAAACCTTTATAAATAATAAGGAGAGATTTTCATAGATAATGTTAGAAGATAATAAAATTCCATAAATACACTATATTTTAATAAAATTCCCTACGTATTGTTTACGTCATCTTTTGTAAACCTGATTTTTTTTTTTAAATTAAAAAGCTTGAAACCGCTAATTGAATTAGCGGTTCATTAAACTAAACCGCTAATTCAACTAGCGGTTTAGTTTTTCACCCACTTACTCGAGCAAGCCAATCAATATTACAGTACATAAAACCGCTAATTCAGGGTTCGTTTGACATCGTTGCAGTTTTCTGTTTTTTGGTTTTTTATTTTTCAAAATCATATGATACATGTCGTATATTGAATTAAAAGATAATCAAACCTATTAATATCATGATAATTTTGAAAACTGACAACAGAAAAGTGGAAACACCTTTTTCTTGTTTTCTGTTTTTGGTTTTTTGTTTTTAAAAAAACAGAAAACTGAAAACAAAAAACGATGTCAAATAAGCTCTCAATTAGCGGTTTTGTTTTAAGTTTGGAAAAAAAAAATAACAATTAATAATTACACTTGCTGACGTGAATGGTACGTCGGGAATTTTATTGATATGTAGCATATTTTTGAAATTTTGTTCTTTTCTCACATTATTCATGGAAATTGCTAGATAATAAACATATAAGCTTTCTAAGCTATCTGTAATCATTGGGCATTGATGATACAAAGTACAAAGTACTCCGTACTAGACAATAATTAATTAATTACACACTCATAGAAAGTCACAAATTATCATGTCCAAATTGTGAAGCTCTACTTACTCACAAGCTAATTGAAAGTGTTAATAAGTCTTGTCCTTTACATCCCTAATGATAAATGAATCTAGCTTGGTTTTGTACGCTGTAATACCATTATGCCTTCACTTTTTTTTTTTTTTTTTTTTTTTAATTAGAAAAATTAAAAAACACTAAACTCAAAACACCATAATCAAATACTCCGTAGAACCTAAAATCGTACTCCCTTACATCAACCATGAATTCCAACAAGTTGTTCATGACATCCAATTGTCCAAATCATATGTGATCCCATAAGATAAACAACACTTATCACCTCATTCTTTTGTTCTTACCCAAATCTCCAGATGGCATAAATATGTACTGTAACAAAATTAAAGCAAGATGAAATAAAAATTTGGTTCAATTAATCAAAGCATCATGAAGTTCCAATGTCCAGTCAAAAGAATCCTCCTTTACACCAATGAGGTCAAACAAGATCATCCCACCAAATCTCAATTATACAAATTTACCACAATTTACATTTTCATATTTCATACAGAAAGGAAAACACCTGCTATAACAGATCACATGTTTTACTGTCTTTGTAATTTTGGAAAAATTTAATTTATTTTTTTTGTTTTTAACGGTCAAATAAACCCTTTTCTTACGTTAGCATAAAACATTATCTTTTTGTTACATTATTAAAATTCATATAATATGAAAATGATATCTGAAATAATTAATTTCTGACAATTATATAATGAGCTAATACATAGTTTTTGATCAGCAACATTATCAGAATTCACCAGAAAATTCTTCAGAACTTGTTTGCCTGCCATTTGCCACCTTTTTTGGTTCTCCTATTTTAGCTAAAATTTTATTTCAGCTAATTTTATGCAAAAAATGTTGCAGTATATTTTTTATTTATATTTTTCTTTTTTTACCCAAAAATTTCCCCTTTTCAGATTTCTGAATTTCTGGCCTCATAGTATTGGCATGCCATATTGATTATAGTACGATCCAATGACGTCCATCTCCTCCTTTCTTTTTCATGTTCATTGAGTGAAAATTACTGTGTTACACTAATCAATAAATAGCTAAACTAATCTGATTTTGCTCTAATTATGATTGGATTTACAACTTATTTAAGTTACAAAACATTGATAGATTTACATAGATACGTAGTAATGATCAATTAATCATTACTCATATGAGTCATATCTTTGCACCAATAATCATCTTATTATCAATCATGCATCGACTCATAATATTCAAATCTTTCAAGATAGCTAGATTAATGACGACTTTGTATGTAATCAATTGATATCATTAAACATGAAGGTCACAAATTCAAATAAAAGTGATATGAGGAATTGGTTAATTTTCTTTTTCTATAACAATCAAATATAGTTCACCCACTTCGAATTTTTTTGATGATTTTCATTTAATTTGCTACCAATCATCGCATAAATAATTTGCTAATTAATATCAAAGCTAAAAAATATTAAACAAAAACCAAAATGAGTCAATAAACACCATTTGCATATAACAACACCATGAAGTAACATAATTAAAATAATTACTAACAATATAAAAAAGGTTATATTTATATATTACATGCATAATAAAGTCTACTAATAAGATTTATAATAATATGCTTAATACCATATATAATATGAGTTTATATTTACACAAACTAAATAAAAACCCATTTACTAGAAACGACTAACACAAGTATTATGCATTATCGCTACTCTTAATCTTCTATATGTTAAAGTTAGACGTTATTACTATTGTCATAACATATGTAATTACTAATTAGTGATCCTAATACAAGTAATTAGAAACTAATACTAATTTATAGCTAGTAGATTAATTAGAGCCAAAGTGCACCAGCCTCTTTAAGGAGAGGAACAAGAGAACCATTAATATGAGAAGCCATAAGAGACTCAATGCCACCTAAAAACTTTCCACCAACAAATATCGCCGGAAGCGGCTGATGCTCACCGGAGAGTTGGTACAACACAGCTTGAATCTCAGCACTACCCTTGTCCGAATCAAGCTCGATAACAGTAGGGCCAACACCGAGGCTAAAGAGAAGGCGCTTCGCTACATGGCACATACAACAGTCACTAGAGCTAAACACCACCACCGCGCTTTCGCCTACCACGCCTTTCACTTTGTCGTACATCATGACCATCATACCGTTGCTGTTGTTGTTGTTGTTACCAATTTCTTGAGCCATTTTTAGCTCTTTCACCATTGCCATTATTTCTCTTAGTGATGTATGTAGTAGTGAGATGTTTTGGGAGAAGTATTTTGGTAGAGAATGTTTTGAGAGAGGGAGACAGTGATGATCTTTTTTATAGAGGAGAGTTGTACTATAGTTTATTTGGATGTTTTATTTGAATTTTTTTTTTTTTCTCAAATGTCAAGGGTAGAGAGGTAAAATACAAATGCTTACCTACTTATTCTAATTAATTTAGGGTTTTTTTTAACCAATTAAGGGCAAAACTAAAGCATTTTGATGATTATGTTGCAAAAAGTATTTAAATTATGCTTGTTGTTGTATGTATGAACATGGATAATTTTTATTTTTTATTTTTTTTTCTATTTTTTTTTTATCTGGTATGGATTTATTATTAAATTTTTGGTTTTGTGAAGTCGCAAATTTAAAAGCAATGAACAACAAATTACATTTCGTAGTTCTTGTAATCTTGTGTAAATGATTTAGCTAGAGGAGTAACCTTTTGATTGGTTTGGTTTTTTTTTTTCCTCTAATGTTTAGGTATTTTTACATGACTATATAAATTTTAGAGAGTAAGAATTTTAGTCCATACTTTCCATACACTAATTTTACAACTTAACTTCATACTTCGTAACTTTTTATTACACAACTATAATTCAGATATTTTTGTATGATAAAAAAAATAAAATAGAGGTCATAATAGTACTTAAAAAAGGAAGAAGTAATATGGAAAAAGAGCAAGATCTTTAATGGCATGCCTTTTGTAGCCCAGGCTGGTGCTGTGCTTCCTAGAAGCCAGTACTTCTACTTGCATTTCAATTTTATCTGGCAGTACAAATACAAATAGGAGAGAGAAATATGCATCATCATCAATATATCATGAGCTTTGTCCTTTACCCTAGGGATCTCAACATTTGGAACATTATAACTAACCCCTCCAAATAACAACTCTATTTTATGCTACACTAAAAAATTAAAAAAAATTGCAACAGTACTAGTGTACTATACATGAAAAAAATCACCATCGCACAACGGTGGAAAACATTGGTGTTGGTTAAAACACGGCTATACGAGTTTATGGATGTTTTTGGAATACGGGGGTACCATGTAAATTTGGGTCATATTAGAATATTAGATACATTTATATGCGTTGTGATATAAAATTATTTATCATCAATAACTATATAAAAAAAATGTCTTACATAATTACTAAGTATTTTCTCCGTTTTTAAATACTTGTTCCATTTCTCCATGCGCGGAGTTTTAGGAGAATCGGAGATAGTAATAAAATATGGAGGTAGTGGGGTGGGTGAAAGAATAAAAAATTGTAAAAAGCAAAAGTAATTGAGAGAATTTTGTATACCTATATGATTATTTGCTTCCATATTCATAGTTAAATGGTCATCAATTATCATATCGCCAGGTAATGGATAGCATACATGTGTTACTTAGATTTTTTTTTTTTTTTGAAAGAACATGTGTTACTTAGATCGGAAAGTTTGATATACCTATATGAATAATATGATTATTTCATTATTTGCTTATGTAATTCACAATGATATATGGTCATCATAGTAAATAACCTATATTGATAGAAGTTTAAGGTCAAATACGTTCTGATTACATAATTTTCGCTTATTTTTTAACACTTGAACTTGAACCTGAACATGGGTACTTCGTATGACACTAACGCATGAACATAAATGTTTGTGTCTTACACTTGAGCATGAGTTTGTATTTGACACTTTTGAAGGAGTCTGATTAGATACCTGAAACATGTGATTAAAAATTGTATAATTCTTTTACTTTTAGGATTACATTAACTCTTTAAGGAACATTGTTCATATAGGATTGTGCATCGTAATTAGAACGTAGTGTCATACAAAATATGTGACACAGTAATTGATAAGAAAATAAAAATGTCGAAATAATTTAATTATTATTAGCAACGTTCATTTTTATGCCAGCTGCGAATGCTAAAGTATTTGCAACTGACATTACATAGGCCAGTTGCGAATAAATTTTTTTTACTTTTACCCACTAATAACTAGCAACGTGCATTAGCACGCCAGTTGCTAATGACATAGTATATGTAATTGACATTATTTTAGCTAGTTGCAATTAATATTTTAACAATTAGCATATTTAACGCCAATTGCTAATAGGGTGCTGCTAATAGAATTTTTTCAACTAGTGAATGACGGGAAAAATCACACGAAGAATAATCAACATGTGTCGTTCTTAGTAATTATTATTAAAGTATCCATAGTTAATATATAGATTATTAATTGATTGAAATTCTAATCATAAATTATTCAAGGAAATTACAAAAGTATCATTTGTTGATTTGTTATTTCCATTTAATTGTTTAAGCTTGTATCTTCTATTACATAATTAAACAAAATAAAGAAAAAAAAATATAATTGTATAATCTTGTTGTAATAAACGTAGTACATTTGTCTTTCCTAAAAATAAGAAAATAATCCATATGTCACAATTTATGTCAAGAATATTTTTTTTTATTTTTTTATTTAAGATACCTAAAATCTTCTATTGTATTATACTTTCTATGTAATTATTACTTTATATATGTAAAAGATTTGTTTCTTAAATAGATTCTAATTTTTTCCAAAAAAAAAAAAAAAAACTAAGGACACACCGGGAGATGACACGTGTCATTTTTGGTGTGTCTTTTAGTATATATATACTAGACTAGACTAGATTATCCCTCGTGCGATGCACGATTTTAACAAAAAATTATAGTGAATAACTCGTATATACAATGGATCTTTTCAATTTTGTCATAAATTCATTGGAAGGAGATTTATTGAAAGGCAATTTGAATATTTGAAATTTTTGAACGTTTGAATATTAGTGTTGAGGAATTGAGGAGAGGGAATGATAAATCTTTAAATCATTTGCTATTCAAATTACTATACTCCGATGTTCTACATTAAAGTTGTTTAAACAATTGCTTGTTTACGAAGTATCACACATACAAAAAAAAAAAAAAAAAAAAAAAAAAGCCTTTCCAATAAAAAAAGTATCACATTAAAATGACATCATCAATGGTTTTAGGTGGAAAAAAATTTCATAAGAGCGACACATATACAACTTTGAGGATAGATAATGTCAGCAATATTTTGTTTTAATAATAGTTAATAGATTATTATTAAAGAAATGGATCCAAGTCCAATTAACAACTAAATAACAAGTAGATAAACCAAAAGATATTGAACAAAAACCGTTGTGGCTCAAATTCTTACACGAGGAATAAACAAAGCGCATCATCGTCTTCATGTTCCCACAAATTTATAGACAACCAAAAATACTAAAAATAAATAAAAATTGAAGCTTGGTTTGGTATTGCAGAGCATCAATGGAGGTTTTCAGAGCCGCGAATCCTTTGTCTTGGACTACATCAATCTCTAAGCCTCCTTCTTTTCACATTTCCTCTAATTCCCAGGTTCCAATTTTTTCTCTTTCTTTGTAAATTTACCCAATTTCAAGCTTATTAACTGTTTTAGTTTTGCCCATTTTTTCAGGGTTTCGAGACCAGAAAGTTAAGTTTATGGTGTCTCAGCAAAGAAAATGGGTCTGCCCCATCTTCCAAGGTACTGCATTTTTCATAATTCTTCAATTATATGTATTATTTTGTTTGATATTGGTTATTGTTGGTTCATGATATTTTGATAATTAATGTGTAATTGGCATTTAGATTGTATTCAAATTATGATTATCATAAAATTTTCTTTCTTGTAAGTATATTTTTAGTCTGATTTTTTGTGGATTGGGAGTTGCAACTAAAGTGATGTTGACTGAATTTGATCTTAGGTTTCTGATATAACCAGCTAAATTAGACTTTACATTGTGGAATTGGGATGATTAATAGCTGGAGTGGCCAAATGAATTCAAAGTGATAGTGTTATTTCACTTACTACATATTTTGAATTAGTATTACATGGGGTAGCTTATAAAGCTTATATTTCTTCAGAAATTCATTTGATATACTTGTATTTTATTTGTTCATAATCATAGGGCAATCAGATGGTTGTATCAATAACCGGGGCTACTGGGTTTATTGGCAGGCGATTGGTTCAAAGATTACAAGAAGGTAAACAAATGAAAGTGTAATGTGTTGGTTTGTTATCTTGATACTGATTGTTTCTTTTGATTTTTAGCATGTTGAATTGAATTGTACAGTTTTGGGTGTTATATTTGGACATTTCACTGTTTGATTATGTTGAAATTAGGAGCCTTTATGATCTGTCTAGATTGCTTACAATATAATCCTTGCTCGAATAGCTAAGCGATCATCCTCGCGTAGATTAAGTGATTGGTTACACAGTTGGCAATGGGTCTTAGTACTATGGATGAACATGAATGAGAAACAAGTTGAGGTTTGGCACTTATTGCAAAAGTGATGATTTGGATGACTAAGACTTAGAAACTAGTATCTGCTAAGAGTATTTCTACCTTAAAGGCTTAAACACATTTATCTTTGTACTGCGCGTAACAATGTTATGCATAATGACAATTTTTTGTTATTATGACTATTTGCTGAATTCACATAATGTTTCTGTTCTCAAAGATATCACAGTTTCACTGTCCTGCACGTGGGGCAATAGTTATAAGTTGCTGAGGCTAAAGTCTTTCTTATTTTTTTTACTTCAGATAAACATCAAGTTCGTGTCTTAACGCGATCCAAATCGAAAGCTCAGCAAATTTTTCCCGGTAAGAAGGTAATGATTATACCTATAATGTATTCTAAATGTGTGTGGACAGCTTTTGATTATAACTTAGCGTTGACCTTAAATAACAAATAACAGATTTTCTTCTTCTAAATTTCTATAAAGCTGCAATTCCAAAAGACTATACTTAACCTTGTGTTTACCCTTTTATTTTTACATTTGCAGTCAACAAGTTCCCAGGCATTGTGGTTGCAGAGGAACCAGAGTGGATAGACAGTATTCGAGATTCAAATGCTGTTGTAAATCTGGCTGGTACACCTATCAGTACAAGGTGGTCATCAGAGGTATGAATTAGTAGTCTCAGTTCACCTATATGGTTATATGTATCAGATTTCT